TATTTATATATATATATAGATTTTGTGACCAAAGATATAAGGTCAACCAACTCAATAACAATATCCAGTTTGAAAACCTCCTCCTACAAACAAATGATATGACCCCAACGTCAGACGATGAAGTCGTAAGGTTTAAAAATACACTAGTCGACAGTCGTCAGCAGTTTAAAAGCAGTAGTCATTCTAGTGAAAGCTTGCTGACTAAACAGCATCGAGAAGCTCCAAGAAAGTTGAAAACAAATTTGTACGCTCATATGTCTTGTTCTATATATACAAAATAATATATATATCTTTAAATATTCCCTTTTTTTAATATTAGAACAAGACATATAGGCGAACAATATTGTTTTCAATTAGATCTTCTTCAGGCTTTACTCTAATTTACAAAGATTTATATATATAAATTTTACCAGTGACGGTGATTTTGTGGGTCAAATGTTTTGAACGTCCTTAATAGCGATGACTATAATGATAACAAAATATTGATAATAAGGTTTATGCAGTTGGTGATAAGAATAACAAAGGTACTATATGTATATAAGTGTACATGTAGACAATTCAATAAATAAATTTGGTCAAATCTTAAAAGTTACGTAATACTAAGGGTGAAGTGGACAGATAATCAGAATTAAAATAAATATCATAAGAGTACGAAGGAGGTGGAAAATAAGAAAGGGTGGTAGGGTTTTGATTAGAATTCACCTGGGCCAATAGAGAGACAAAGGTAGAACAAACTTCTTTTGTATGCAAAGACAAGGATTGTTCTCTTGAATTCCCATAGCTTTGGCTATGTGCAAAAGGCGGGTTCGAATTCCGTTCGAAAGGCTCGATGCAATGTGACAGATAATTTTGAAGGCACTATTTTTGTCCACTTGGTGACCACTACCAATCAAATGAGCCAAAATAGAACTTTTTATAGATTTTATCTGACCTTTGTCGAACCATGAAGGAAGATGCTCAGTGATGCGTTTGTTAAGCTGTGTAGTTGTTCACCCTTTATAACTCTCTCCACAGGAGCAGCTAAATTTATAGATACACATAGAAGTGGTACAGCTAGGTAGCTTGTCTTTCACTTAAGCAATCATAATTGGTCGGCTGGAAAATGACAAACAAAGGGTGGCGGCAGTATAAGTCCGTTTTATCACTCTCGATAATCTCAGATGTAAGACTTCGCTGGCCGCGTCCCCATTAAATTGCAGTTTCATGAACAGTTGTTTCTTTTTAACTGTTGTCAGTTTTTCTTGATTGTACCTGGTGTTCAAGTGTCTCCTTACAATTCTACTAGGATAACCCATTTGGACCAACATATTTTGGATGTAACCTAGCTAATTTTCTAGGGAGTCATCTGCGCAGATACGTCTTGCTCTATTCGTGAGGCATCTGACCAAATTGATTTTGTATCGGATTGGTACAAAACTGAGGAAATGTGTATATTGACCTACAGATGTAGGTTTTCTATAGACATCTCTCTTGAGTGAACCATCCTATCCAGGAAATGTAGTCTACCATCATGTTCTTCTTCACAGGTGAAGATGAGCGATGGATGTGCATCATTGAACTTTTTTAACATTTCATTCTCGTCAGCTTTCACATCAAGAATAATGAACGTATAAGCAATGTAGCGAAAATAAGAATCGGTTTTATCTATTACTTGTTTCAGTGGGCCGTTACCAACTTTGGCAAAGAAGAAATCTGCCAAAATTGGCCCTAATGCAGAACCCATGGCAATGCCGTCAATTTGCCTGTAATAAAGGTTGTCGAATGTGAAGTGTACATTCATAGTACATCTTAAAAGCAACTCTTTCAGAGTAATAACTGGGATTCCGATGTTGAACTGTTTTTCTAGTATCTGTTGGCATATGAATTCCACAGTCTCCATAAGTGGTACATTGGTAAACAGTGATGCTACATCTTAGGATAGCATTTGCTTCCCATTTACATTGATATCGTCTACGTTAGCAATGAATTCAGAAACGTCTTTAACACTATAATTTACTACCATCCTGCGTAACGGTTGGAGGAGTTCACCTGGCAACTTTGCCACTCCATGGTAAGTGGAATTAGACATATCTAGGACCGATCGAAGAGGAAGTCCTGGTTTATGTACTTTGGGCAAACCGTACAATCGTTAGGTATTACTTCCAGTAGTTTTAAGACGGTTGTAGGCTGCCTCTAAGATTACTCCACTTTTTTCAGCTCCTTAAGCGTGTTAGTTAACTGCTTTTCAGCCTTTCCGTCTAGATCTTTTCGGTCATTAAGCTTTTGGAACTTCGTTTCATCCGTTAGAAGCGAATTCATTTTGTCAACATAATCGCACTTATTCATCAGTACTATTCCGGCTCCTTTGTCAGGTCTACTCATTATAATGTTTTCGTCGTTCCTTAACTTTCTTAGGGCTTCTCGATGCTGTTTAGTCAGCAAGATCTTACTAGAATGACTACTGTTTTTATACTGCTGACAACTGTCGACTAGTGTAGTTTTAAACCTAGCAACTTCATCGTCTGACGTCAGGGTCAAATCTTTTGTTTGTAGGAGGAGGTTTTTAAACTGGATATTGTTATTGAGTTGGTTGAGCTTACATCTTTGGTCACAAAATCGATATATATATATATGAAATTAATAAAGAGTTAAGAGGTGAGAAAAAATGAATTTAAGTCAAATTGAAAGGACATTTTATCTTATGTTCGGAACAACTGTACATTTTATATACATTCAGCTGGCAATAATATCGGGTCCCAGTGGCTGAATGGTAAATGAGCTTGCCTTGTAACCGGAAGGTCCTGGGTTCGAATCCCAGTGGCTGCGTACTGCCGATGATTCCCAAACTAGGATGAAACAGCAGCTGTCCAGTACTCCCTGGTTTTCAATGGTTCTCTAACTGATATCAGTCCGTGATCAACTCGTAAAGCATAAGTAATCCTTACAAACCAAACTATAGAAAATTATTCTGATGCTCGCTAGTGACTTGCTACAGGTTGGAGCTTCCTGTAGTTCTAGTGCGAAGTTGTGACCAGTGACGTCCATTCAGTCACGTGTGAGGATGGATGTCCCACCGATTACATTGGTTGGCGTCGCGTTAAATCATGAATTGGTAAGAGTTAGAATTCATGGGTTGGCCAATGAATCGGGTCCCAGTGATGGCTGAATGGTATACGAGCTTGGCTTGTAACCGGAAGGTCCTGGGTTCGAACCCTGGAGGTGAGTGCGTACTGCCAATGATTCCCCAGAAAACTAGGATGAAACAGCTGTCCAGTTCTCCTTGCTGCTTTTCAATGGTTCTCTAACTGATATCAATCCGTGATCAACACGTAAAACGAACTATCTTTCCATATTATACATGCACCCCAATGCAGTTTCTGATATAATTTTCACATGTGTTTCATGGCTATTTGTATTCCAGTAATCATGGTTTTATTTCAGTACAGTCTTAGAAGGAAGTTATCGAAAGCTATTGTTCTCTCAAAATCCTCTTATTCTGATTACAATATTTATTTAGCTTAATTCAGAAACATTTTAGGAGGAATTTACATCTGCCGATTTAATTTTGAATAGTCTGACTACAAAATACATAGAAATTTAACCATATTTGTTTGGTTTTATATATTATTTATTTTGTTTTATTTTGATTACAGCTTGATGCCACACCGTATTTTCAGTACAAGTATGGAATTTTCAGCATGGATATCGGTAGCCCAAATTTTACAGGCCGACCATAGATTTCGGTTGTGCGTCGGCAGGGGATCGAACCCCGGATCGTGTGCATGGTCAGCGAGAGTCCTAACCTTTTGTATAGACCTTGATTGTCATTGAGCCAACATTAGGTTTTATTAGTAATGCAGTATATGTCATTTTAGAAAATAAAGACAGGAACGCTACTTCCAGAAAGTTTTCGTTGAACATTTATCATCAATATTACTCGTTCTTCGCCTTTCGAATGAAACATAAAGCTCGACGCATCTTCAAGGTAGTCGCTTCCTCATTTTCAAGACCGCATAAGCTATCGCTCCCCCCTTACAGAGTTTTCTCGATATCATCATCGGATGTGCAACCCATCGCTACCATTCAGGTTCCCTCAGATAGCCTTGAGTGCGATTTCATCTGAATGTCTTCCCAGCCTACGTCCAGCCTATTTCCATTTATATTCTAGCAACACAAGTATTTAGTGGGTTTCTACGAATAGCTGAATTTTCTTGTTACACCTTAGGAGGCAACCCTGAATAAAAAGGCGTTTCTCTTAGATATCACACTTATCTATACTCATTGAAAATCCCTCTCTACAACACTAAAAGAATAAAAAACAATTCATCCACCCCTTCTTGAATATGAACTCGTGTCACCCTATTGTAAAATTATCTTTTTTTTGTTTATAGCTTGATTCCACACCGTATTTTTGGTCCAAGTATGGAATTTTCAGCATGTAATATGGGTAGCCAAAATTTAGCAGGCCGACCATTGATATCAGGTGTGCGTCGGCATGGGATCGAACCCCAGACCATGTGCATGGTTGGCGAGAGTCCTAACCGCTGTGCCACCGACGCACAAGTTATTCGGTTCACAATTTGGGTTGGGAATTAAGTGATGATCAGTTTTGTCTTCGTTGAGATCAATCAGTCAGTGGAGATTATCTAGTATAGTTTTTTTTTTATCAATAACCGATCGCACTAAAAAAGTATGCAAAAAGCAAAATCTCCTATGTCCATCATAAAGTCAACAGAAAGAAAATAGGTCCACTAATTAGAAAGTGAATTAACCTCAGAACTGTCATTTAACTGCAGAGTTAGTAAGATGCTTTGTATCCTGCTGTAATTACTAATTATCCTTTAGAAAATCAGAAATATTCAAATTTCATATCATGGTCTGTAGTCTAGTCTAAATTGAATTGTTCCCTTTTTGTTACTTTGCTTTGTTTCTTCACTTGTATTCACAGTTATGTCTTTCAGGCAGCTTTTATTCACCTGTGGTATACGTTATCGTTAGTTTGATTTTTACTGGTGTATATACTACTATTTACTTTTTAGTAAGTAGTAACGAAATCATATTTATGAGTTAAAAAGTTTATTATACACAAAAAAGAATCGTTTAAGTACAATATCCAAAGATAATTTGAATAAACAAAAAGCGTTATACAGTAGAAAAAGCCCTTATTATCTAACAAAAATATAAATACATCAAAATATATTCTTTGTACAGCAGAGACCGGTGTGGTAAAAACAAAATATTTCTAAGTCAAGTTACATTGCCTATTACTCTGTTAACCTTCTGATTCTTATAAGTACACGTAATCTGTTGAAAAGTGATGCATCATAGATATCCAGACTGCGATGAAGAATGTGTATCTGTGTTGGCTACTTTAGGGATAATTTCATCGTCCTCTTCATCCACATCTCCAGTGAACCTATCACAATCACTCATCTCTTCTGAATCTGTGTTATCACTTAAACTTACCCAGTCAAGTCCAGTTATCTGGCTTAAGCCACACTGTGTTAAATCTGTCGATGGATTGTTCACCTCTGTAGTGGTCATAGGGGCTCTTGTATGGTCTGATTCTAATGCTGACATTAGCGTTCTTTCTTGTTTACTTAACGCAGGATTTCCATCAGTTGACTTTATATTCTTATCATCTATTGCCGACATTGAATCTAAACCTCTTGATCTGATATAGTTTAAAAGTAATTCATGAATTTTTCCGTAACCTTTTTCCATACACAATGATAAACAGTCATTTTCCATACAGTCGACGACTTCAATTTTAGCTTGTTTGTGAAGTAGAAATTCTACAGCCTCTTCACAACCTTCACGTATAGCCAACATGATCGGTGTTCTATCCCAGTCATCTTTCATATTCATCAGTCTAGCAAAACCTTTACACTGTGCTAAACGATTCAGCACTGTGATGGAATTAGTTACTGCTGCCCAGTGCACAGCATTACGTCCATATTGATCAGTTGTATTGTATGAACAACCTTCGTCTAGCAATACTCTGACTACTTCATCATTTCCTGCTTGTATAGCTGCTATGATTGGTGTACACTGACCTGATTCATAAGTTTGACAACGTTTTCTTGAACGACAAACTGATTTCACTGCTGTAGTTTGATTTGATTTAAGACATTTCACTAATTTTTTACTGGCAAGTACTTCTTTCTCAAGATGATAAAGTGAATTGATCGACTCTAAGGAATTAGCTGCTGCAGCGCTACACAAAGCTGTTCTACCGGATGAATCGATATAAAAGGTGTTAAAAGATTCTTGATTATGTACATTATGGCATATTTTAGAGATAACATCATGTCCAGCATTCATATGAGCTGCCAAGTGGAGGATATTATGGCTTTGTGGAATAGCTGGTTTTGATACATTTTCATCTAAATATTCTATAGGTTTATCGGGACCAATAAATTTGTCTTCACATTTATTCTGTTTATGGTATAGAGTTAAAAGATTTTCAATTTGGTTGTGTTGTACAGTATTGCATGGATGTAAACCATCCATTGATGTGATGATTTCAGTAAGTTCCTTTTTTACAGGATTATCAGGAACAACCTGTTTTATTTCATTGTTACAAATGATATTTGTAGCATTTTTGTTTACATCAATGACTTCAGAATCCTTGGCTGTTTGATTTGGCACAAACATAGAGGAGTCAAATCTCTCCCCAAGTTTCAGGTTACACTCTCTTTGTTGATATTTCTCTTCCAGTTTTCCACAATTATAAATTTCATCTTGTTGCGTAAAGAAATTGTCCATACACTTTGGAGAAGTAAACAAATTCATACTATTGTCGGACAGGAAATCCGCCACGATCTCGTCCTAAAATGATAGATATTATTGTATTGGGGACAGAAGAGAAAAACAAAAATAAGATTTAGAAACCGTACGATTTTCAAGCATAATAAAATAACTAACATTATTTTACACAAATTCAACTGAATAAATAAAAGACATTTGAAAAACACCTCGAAAAAAATATGGATTGAACGATGAAATGTTATGTTATGTCAGGTTTGAGAAAAACTTCCACTTATAAAGTAAAACTAAGCAGGCGAGAAGTGTGTATGGAGGAAACATTGGACGAAAATGTTTTGATGACATTATTTTTTTACAACTCAGAGATGAAAAAACGATGTAAAGCAACACCATGGAAAGTGTGTTTTCGTCGTAAGCATGTTCGCAGATAGTAGTGATAAGAGAAAGTCAGTTACAGTGGGACAAATTTAGAAGGGAAAAACATTGTTATTGTCACATGCCTAAAATTTATACTACATTATAGAATTATCTGTTACCATTCCTATTTGTATTCATTCTTCTATATGGAGTCAAAATAAAAGAAGACAACATTTCAGTGGACATTTCTCGAGTTGTGGTTATCCATGAAGGTAGAGTAATCTTGATATCCCCGTAGCATATCATTAGACCAACAAGATACATAATCTACTTAGGTCATTCGATTTAATAATCAAAAGAAAAGCCTTGCTACAGAATTGGTATCTCGCTGTTATATACATGGACAAATGAGTTCGGAAAGTATATTCTAAATCTATCGCGCAGGTGCGTCGGTAGTTTCCTGGTAGACTAGTAATCAACCACCCACATCACGTGGTCAGGGACTCTTAAACCACACTCAGACAATAGTAAGCCCGGTAAAGATGGTAGATAAGGCGTGAGACTAGTGACCCCACTTGGTAAAACAACAGAACTGTTACAGAAACCCTAAAGATTAATGCCTAATGTTCCACTCGGAAGACAAAGGAAAGAAAACAACTTCTATCACAAACTGTCCATTAAAGATACTTTCTCCCAGCACAAGATCTACTTCTTAGTATATATTCTGAGATTTTAATTTTTGAATACTCCCGTTTGCAATGATGTGGTTGATCCTGAGTTACATTGTACGAACTGATATTACTTAGATAACCATTGAAGACCATAAGTTCTAGGAGGCTGTTTCGCCCTTGTTTGGAATTCTTAAAAAGTACAGAATCCAAGGGTCCATGGATTCTTTCTTTTGCTGTTCAGTTCTCACTGGTTTTCTACGGTTCTCTGACTGATGTCAGTTTGTGATATTGTTTAAGCAAAGGCTCGCTTTTAAAAACGTTCTGCTTTATTTATATACACGAACAACTTTATATTTGGTGTCATGGAAACATTGTGCTCTGCTAGCGTTTTAGCAATTCATCATGTTTTCACTATGTTGTCTAAATATTTTAAAGGTAATGTTATGTACTTATAGATGAGGGCATCAAAACCATATAGGATCGGAAAAGCAATACACCCAATCATTACTCTCAAATGAGTACAAAGATATATAGCACTCATCATAAGAACGAATATACAAATGTTAACGCTAGTTTCAAGCCAACCAGTGCTTCTATATGGTTTGACGTGTACGTGCCACCAGCAGCCCTCTGTAGGCTTTCAGCAGTAACTGCCTTAGTTCGATACTCAAGATCAGATGGCTGGCTGTAAGGAAAAAACACCAAGGAACGCTGAAATGGAACGAACTAAGAATCCACTCCCAACACATATGCTGAAGGGAATGGAAATAGTTTGAACATATACTGAAAAGACATTCAAGTGACTCCACACATCATGAACTGAAATTAACATTTTAGGCGGGTGTGTGCAGGTGACATAGAAGTGGTTGTGTAAAAAGGAAATGAAAGCTTGTGTGCAGTTATTGAACCACTTGGAAATTATGACAGGAAATGGAGTAAACTAGAGATAGACTCCAGGAGCCCTTTGTTTCACTTGCAACACAAAAGATTACGTTATGATAATAGGAGAAATTTGCGGAGATTTCGTAATTCAAATGGACTAAAGCATGGATTTTGAGCGAACAATTGTTTTCAGTAAATTCTTCCTCAGGCTGTACAGTTATAAACCCATGAATATTAGAATACAAATAAACATTAAAGGCATGTAAAAATTATATCAAAATGGATGAGTCATTTACGCTTGTGTATCGAGTACCAAACAATCCGCCTAAAGGTACACGATTACGTCTCTTAGCTATGTCTGAAGCGATACAGATTAATAAAAAGGAATCTAACCCATGTGCGGAACAAAACCAAAGTCAATCTGTTTTTTCACCCTGGCCTACTCACAAGGTAATCGGGGACATAAACAGCCAATTTTTCATGTCATATTATGCCTTTCTTATTCCTTTTCACCTAGTTTACTTTACTTGATTACCTTTAGTATGTGTCAACCTTGAATGAAACGTATATTCTGTTGACTATAAATACATTAGTATGTCACCTTTTTGTCTATTCACACTTTATCTTATGTTCTGAATGACTATACATTTTATATGCATTCACTTGACAATATTAACTAACGAACTATCAATTAATAGTGTTCTCTCAGCTGGTTGGTTTAGTTGCGGAGCTTTCGTCGTCCTTCTGGACACCATCTTCAGAGCAATTTTAGCATAAAGTGAACAGATTTAAATTTTTTCCATTTGTGATAGAATTGTGTCTCCCGGTAACAACCTTTACATATGTATTGATCATTTTCTATTGACTTGGATTATGATTTACTTTTTATTAGTTGGTATATTTGGTCTATGTTAACGTGTTTGTTAATTGCATATTCGTTTGAGTACCAGGCTTCTAGGAATTCCTTGGCACTTTTGGTATTTCCTCTGTCTAAAATTTTGACATTCCATCTAATATATGTACCCCAATACAGTTTCTGATATAATTTTTGCTTGCATAAACTCTACTAAAAAGTGTAGTCTATTGGAAAACATCAAAGGTCAGAAAGCAAGAGGCATAAGCAACTTAAATTTCACACTGTCCAAAAAAACAAATTCAAAAAAGATCATAACGCTTTACGCAAGTCTATAACGTTTCAATGCGCTTTGTATATTTCTATTACAATGGATATATATCCACATATTATTATTTTTGAGACAGGCGAAAAATATCCCATTCAAAGTAACAGTAAATTTATTCGCCCACTATTGTGGTCCAACCGAAAACTGGTTTTCAGACACCCTTGTCTTCGGAAAAAGCCTAAATTTATTGATTCTATTCCTAAAATTTAACAGTCTTTCTCTCTCTCTTTCTCCCCTACATAGGCAAACTTTTTGTCACAAAGAATCAGCTTTTGTTGTTGAGAGTATTATTGTGATTATTATTATATTTACCCATGAAATCACGCACATTTATCCAAAATCTTATTTGAATACAGCCTCTCCTAGTATTTTTGTTCGCATGATATACAAAGTCCAGTGAGTTTTAACTATTCAAGTGAAAAATTTTCTGTAAATTTTAAGGGATGCTAAACTGATAGGAAATTCATACAGTAGGTATCTGGTGATGGTTTTTAAATTTCACTGATACGTGTTAGAAAAGCTAGTCCTAAGATAACCTTACGTTTAAAAACTAATAATAGATTTCATTGAAATATCGATCTAAGTGACAATCTTGTTTTTTCTTATTCCTTTACGTTCCCAGTGGAGCATCGGGCTTCAAGCTACAGGCTTGAAGTTTCCGTCGCAGTTGTGTTTATTTTCAAGGTATGGGTTGTTAGCCTCATGTACAACCTTCCCTCTTTACCGGTTCTATTACTGACTTAGTGAGGTAAAGTAGTGCGTTTGCTGGGGATCGAACCCCAAACCACATGCGTGGTTGGCGTGCTGGGCCACCGACGCTACATGGTATATTAATTCAGGCACTTAGTGTTCAATCGACGAAATAAAAGCAATAGAAAAATCATTCTAAAACGAATTCTTTGGCAATATCGAGATGGCTATATGGAATGTCTATATACTTTGATTGGACACTAGTAGATTGAATACTATCACTCAGGTTTGCAGCGTGGCCACCAATCTAGGTAGCCCGCCATCACGATGCACATTGATTGGATGACATTAAATGGTTGGAGGCAATCGGCAGTCTTACAGGAGGTCAGTCGCAAGCGCGAAAAGTTGAGTGGTAACGTCTGTAACTGCTGCATTGGGTGACGCGGGTTCGAATACCAGAAGAGACATGAGTTCCTTCAAGGTCGCAGATACGCCTTGCTGATGAGTGCCACGAAACCTAGGTCAAGCAAGGCTTCCTGCCGATCGCCTTCAACCATCTAGTATCATCAGAATGCTTATATGGTTATGAAGGCCAAATAGGATAAACAGTAAGATATCTGTGATAGTAAACTTATTCTTCATTCTGAAGACGGCAGTCAAGAGACAGTAAACTAGTGGCTTATATTCATGGACACGTAGAAAATCAAAACAAGTGATTCACCGAAGAGTCTCTTTTCAACGAATTTATTCTAAAGCTATACAGTCGCATATATGTGATTGTGGAACTAGGTTTATCAGTTGTTCAACGTGGGTTCCATCTAAGAGAGTGGGAGAACACGATCCTGCGGGACTATGATAAAGTGGAAGTAGGGATATAGGAAGTGCTATAATTGAACATCTGGCAGATCCTGGGCATTTTATTTCCATAGATTCTTATTTTAAAGTTATTTACAAGGCAAAAAATAACCTACCCAAATGATTATATACCCGACTTTTATTTATTGCTAAAACTTGAACCATCAGAACAGAAAAGGCGTATTTCCGTTGAACAAAAAGTATGTCTATGTTAAAGCATGATAATCTCCATCCATAATTTTGACCAACTTATTTTTCGTTTTGTTCATTCAGTTTGCATATCCTCCCATTATTCTATGGACTGTTATTATTATTAATTTCTCTTTGAAAAATTTCCGATATTACCTAAGATGTTGCCTCTATTTATTTAATTCAATATAATTTTCTTATTGTTGTCTTATCATAATTATCACCTTGTTGTGTAATGTTTTAATGTTCAAATATTCGTTTTGTAGGGATTTTGTTTGATTGCTTGGAGGATTTCATCATGAGCTGACATCAGTTAGAGAACCATTGGAGTACTGGACAGCTGTTTCGTCTTAGTTTGGTGAGTGCATACTGTGAAGACTCCCGAACTAGGAAGAAACAGCTACCCAGTACTCCCTTCAGGTTTTCCAATGTTCTCTAACCGATATCAGCTCATGATGTTTTCCTTCAACCAATCAAACAAAATCCCTACTAAACTAATACTTAAAAATTGATCTGATGCTCACTAGTGACTGGCCCTATTCAGGCAGTTACCTGAGGTTCTAGTGGGAAGCCTTGACCAGTAGGGTACAGAAGGTTGAAGGTGAGGCAGTAACTCATAGAAGAAGACATTGGCTGGTGGTCGCGCTATGTCATGAACTGGCAGAAGTTAGAATTCATGGACTGGCCATTCGATCGGGTCCCAGTGGCTCAATGGTCTACGAGCTCGCCTTGTATCCAGAAGGTCCTGGGTTTGAACCCCACTGGTGGGTGCGTACTAGTGAAGAGTCCCAGACTTGGACGAAACGGATGTCCAGTACTCCTAGGTTTTCCAATGGTCCTCTAAACGATGTCAGTTCATGATGAAATCCTGAAACCATTCAAATCCCTGCAAACGAACGCTTGAATATATATATATATATATTGTACAGCTATGAAAATGAAATTGTCGAAAAGAGAATTTTCTTTGCTGAACTCTTTGTTTTCTGATTCTATGTATTTCTGAAATTAGATTGCTAATACTGACACTGCTAATACAAACTGATACTTCACTTGCTACACTAGAAATTAAACTTTTTAAAAATATATTTATGATATTGTTTTATGATCAAAGGTACTTTAAGTTATAAAACATTTGCTTAGTGGTTGCCCAGGGCGAAATTATGTCCACCGAGATCTTCTTAAGGTTTGAAAATTAGACATACATTTCATAAGGCATATGCATAAGAATATAATGAAGTACACTTTTATCTTCTTTAAAACCAATACACATAAATTTATGAGAAATAACTGCTTTTGTTGACGGTCAGAAAGGTAAACTAGCGTATTATTATCCCAATGATTCGTTTCATGTGTTCTGAGAGGAGAATTGCGACTCGCTTGCATGTCTCCATGCCACTTCGTTCTGTGATGTCACTTTGAGCTAGCTCCATGACTGTTCAAAGGTTTTTTATTTCCCTTACACCTGATCCTTTCCATGTCACCATCGTGCTTTTGCCAAACACATCATATCCTATTAGGGTTCTACTCGAGAGTCTGTCTAGTGTTTGATCCGTGATGAAACAGATTTCCCTACTTCGACAGTAAGAGTAAACTCACTGTATGATTCCTCTGGGTGTGCTGTTAGGACTGTCGTAAGCAACAAGATTAGCGCCCGCATTTACTGTATGCATTAATAGTAGTGAGAAATGAAATTCCTAAAATAAGACAAGCAAGCAAGCAATTCTTCACTAGTCTTCTACATAAACTGAAAGGTATAGATTGTGGTAAACTTTGGCGACAGTTGAAGCGATTAATTCAATTCTAAAATGCATCTACAAAACTAACACACAAACTTTCACTAAAACAAAATGCGAAAATTAAAAAAAACAGGCTATTCTAATCTATACTGGTAAATGTTTTCTGCACTTGTAAACACTTTTTACCTGATTAGGACGTTTTTTCTTCCAAGGTGAAGAGTAACCGTCAACCCATTCAAAATCGGTATTTGGAATCTAGGAAAAAATTAAAATAAAACATTTGATTTTATGTATATGCAATAATATTTTGCAATTTTTATTATACTACTTTTAAGTAGTAAAAGTAGTGACAGAATTGCAGATATAGACTATACATGTGAGTGAATAAAACAGTTTCGACGTATTGATACGAACACACTTGACATCCTACTCGCTTGAAGAAACTGTAACCTCCTCCAATCTGTTTTCTCTTTTAATGCCCAATAAGCTAGTATTATGGGTTCTGTAGGGAATCAGAATAATTTCACGGTAGATTTCGTCAAGAATGAACATCATTTAGAGAGTCATTAAAAACGAGGGAGCATTGGACAACTGTTTCGTCCTATTATAAGACTCTGCAACAGTGCAGAACCACAATATGGATGTCCTGAAAATGTATTGAGAAGTCATTGGTCAATGGGGTCCAATATACTAAGATAAAGTGGTTGCTTAGCAATGCCATTAGTTGTTGGTGGCGCTAAATCGCTAATTGACAGCAGTTTGAATTCATGAGTCGTTGAATTCCAGCACAAAAGGATGAATAACCAACAAGCTCTACCTCATAGTATGAAGGTCTCGGTTTCGAACCCCAGTAGGGTCGTGGGGGCATACTGCCAGACGGTCGCTTATAGGGATGAAAGAGCCATCTACTATTCCACAGTTTTTTACGATTTTCTATAATTGATGTTGATTCGTAACGAAAATCAAATAATCCATTTATACATTTAAGCATTTAGATATGCAGTATCCAATTACTAACTGAATAGTATAGTGCATATCTTGATCATTATGTTGATATTGAATTTCAAGATGGTTGAACAGTATTTTTCTGACACATAAGAAACCACCAAAAAAAAAGATTTGACCTAGTTGATTGAAATGAAGAAAATGACATGGAAATCCACAGGGAAAACTAGCTATGTTTCAAAGACATAGTCATCTAAAAATAGCTGAAAATGAGATCAGGCTAACAGGTTTACTAATACCATGAGTTTATGGGAAAGAAAAATACCTCATCTATTTCCACAAGTGTCTCATTATCATTCATAATGAAAAAAGAAATATGATACTCGAGAACCTGTTAGAAGACAAACATTATTTTTATCTAACTGTCACTCTAGAGAATTTAATTCCACCAACTTCACATAAATTTTTACATTTCATTCCCTTGAGTTTCGAGTAGAACATAGGGCTTCAAGTTCTATGCCTTGAATTTTCAGCATCGGCAGTGTTATTTAATTTTTACGGGATATGGCCGCCAGACCCATGGCCAATCTTCCCTCCTTACTAGGTTTACTGACGTCTAAATGAGGTTTAGGAGTGTGTCAGACAAATATTGAACCCAGACTACGTGTGCGGTTGGTGGGCATTCAAACACTGAACTATAAATGCTCCATGTGCATACCTGACATTTAGAACCACTTTATTATTAATACACCTATGAAAACTACATTTTATGTGTAATCTACAAATAATAACAGTTTTGACACTGAGAAACTAAACAAACACTCTAAGCAACTTTCACAAATTGCGGCTCTAATGTACAATTAACATTCAGTCACACAACTTATAGACCTGCCTGAAAAGCATGTGAATGACGGACGCTCCACTACTTATAACAGGAAAGATTATTCAATATCCAACTTCCAAGGATACATGAAATAGAAAGATGATCTATCACTTTCATGAGAGTTCCCTTACAACAAAGAGACGAATTTGAACAATCAACTGGAAAGTTTCTACAACTGTGCACCTATTACATGCAAATTAAATTAAAGTTCTCCAGCTGCTGCCTCTATTTAAATGATTTCCACTGCTAATAACTCTTACGATGTCTCCTGTGAAAAATGATGTTCACTACGATAAGAAGCTAGGAAAGCAACTAGATACCTTTCAGTAAAAGATCCAAATTCTTCATTGTGACCTTTTTGCACATAACCTCCTTGGTCCAACTACTAACACACTAAGATGTCTGCGTTGAGTCAGTACTCTCTAGACACTTCACTGACACCTCTGAATTGCGACAACCTTTTCTGTTTGTTACTTCACTCTCTAAGCACAAAACTTTTATTCTGTAGGCACAAAAAGATCAACTAAACTATAGTTCTGTTTACTGGCTTTTCCGTACAAATATTTTTAAATCACTGGTAAGTCAGTTACATTTTCAGGTTAAATTAACGCTTCAAATAGTCTCTGGTCGATTCCTCATAGGATATATTCAAATAGAATATATTGGTGTCTTTATTTCTGAATTCGTCTTCAGTTAACGTTATGTGCATTTGAAAATTTCAGCGAAACGCAAGATATTACCAAACGTCTACTAGTGATAATCACTATACTAATGTTTTAGGGATAGAATGGGACACAATTTTTGTTACCATTCATTCATCTTACTTCTTAATTTATTTTGAGCGAATACTAGTATACCATCATAAGTGTATTTTAATGTATAGTGTTATGCTTATTGCTATTCATTCACGTGTTCATCTTCTTTTGTCTGTATCATTGTCAAATCAAGTTACACAGATGTATAATATGACCATGAGTACTAATCTCTGCCGGAACTGTCATCAGTACATACTGTGTTGTCAGTGAGTGCTGAACCAAACAGTAGTGAATTCTACTCCTTAGTTCCTAATAACATGTTTCTTTCTTAGGTAAATCATATGCAGAAAATAGTGTGATAGAATACTGCTATGCATGAAAACATTTCTGCGCAAGCTAAATAAAATAATGATGTACATATATGGAAGAATATTTTGGAAGAAAGAAGGATACGATGCTTACTTTATGTTATTCATTCAGAAGAACATTTTCTTTCGGTTTCGTTTCCGTGGCTGTTCTAATTTCAAATTGTTCAAATTTCTTTGTTATAAATGATACTATTTATACCGTAGTAAGTAGTCAGATTTTAAACGGACTATTTTCTCACAAAACTATAAGGCTTACGTCATGCTAACTTTATTTATCTACTGTTTTTTCGAAATCAAATAAACTTCTTCTGTTCCACACTAACTGTTGAATTCAGCTTAATACTTAATATAATTAATTCAGAAATGATCGAAAAATCCGGTGCTTTTTGTGACACATTTGTGATGAGTAAATGAGAATATACAATTAGCATAGTCTGAATGAAGTTTGATGAAATGCACTATTAACAAAGCCTGTATGTTTTGTGATTGTAAAATTTAGCGATTTTGGTATATAGGCTTAGAAAGATGAATTTCCACACTTATTCTTCGAAAATGGAATACAAAGTGTAAAAGTAATCAAATGTGTGAGTGGATAAATGTGTACTTTTTGATGTCTATTTCTTTTGTAAAATTAAAAAATACCTCCTAAATTTATACCCAACTTGAAGTACGGGATAAAAATGATTAATATCATTAGCATAATTGTTAGTCCCTTGAACTCCTGGTGGAAATTAGGGCTTCAGCAGTAGGTCCCCACTTCTCTGGGTTCTTTGAAGTCTTTCTTAGATTGCTGTAAGTCTGCCCTTGCACTTTCCTTTCCTCCTCACACAATCATGCTCGAATCAACGTGCAACTGGTTTTTTCGCATCGGAGTTCCACTCGACGGTTTACCTTGCGTGTGATGATAGTCAACAGTCTCCTCAGTGTTCGTTCCATTCATCCTCATTTCTTTCGGAATACTTCCTGGGTTATAGAATCTTGGTTGGTTCATTGCCCGCACTGCTTGCTAGCTTTTCTTTCTAGTCGGTTATATGATTCAGTCTTATGGAGCGAAGACAACTGTTGATCCAATTCTGTGGCAGCCTGTTAGAAAAGCCTCTTCTGATGCGCACACTATTCTTCTGAAACTTACTGAGGCACTGACTGACTTGAAGTTAGTATTGAAAATTCGGGTATTGTTCCATATGCCGAGGGCTTTAGTTTTCCAAACTGATTTCGAAGTAATGAAGGTTTATCTTGCTTCCGACATCTTCATCTGTGTAATGCATTATACATGTTTATGTATATTACTGCGCTTCTGGTTGAGTGTAGATGGGATAAATGGATAAATGCTACCTGTGTTGATATATGTGTAAAACTTTGGCTCTGTGATGCTAAGTAATTCCATATTAGTTTGTTTATTAGTCATATCACACAGTGAAACAGTATTTGTCGAACACATTAACTCAAAGGTGGGCACAATTCAATTCACTTATGAATTGGAAAGTCAGGAAGAGGAGCTAAAAATGTTAGATTGTAGTGTAAAAGGGAAAGAAGATGGGAAGTTAGGTAGTAGTGTTTACAGGAAACAGATATTTAGACTTCCCATCATCCGATCCTATGTCAGTCATAATGGGATTACTGAAATGTTTAAATAATAGAGCACAAACTCTAAGTAGTAGCTAGGAAAATCTAAGACAGGAAATGAGGCATATAAAAGAAGCTTGGAAACTTAATAATTGCCCTTATAAATTAGTCAGAAAGTATGTAGGGAAATGTAAAAATGAAATAAATAATGGTAGTAGTGATAGCGATAATAATAATAATAATAGTAATATTAATGACAACATGCATGTCAAACATGCGGAAGACAACGCGAACAATAAGGAATCTAAATCATCAGTAGTAATTCCATACATGGAAAGAACTTCGGAAAACTTACGCAGAATTCTTAACAAGACAGGAATAAAAGTGGCTGGCATTGAAACCACCGACAAACTCAATTAGAAACATGCTTTGTTGGTTAAAGGATCCTGTTTAGCCGTTAAAACGAAACCGTTTAGTTCATCTAATACTCCGCAATGATTGTCAGGTCAAATACATAGATCAAATTAGTAGAACAGATGCAGTCAGACTAGCCGAGCATAAAAAGCCGAATAAAATAAGAAACCTAGGGAGTAATTCAGCTGTAGCACTTCATGCAGTTACACACAACCATACAATAGAATGAGATAAGATGACAGTTTTAAAATCTAATGTAACAGAGTGGAAGGAGAGTTTGATAACGGAAGCTTTTTTTGTCGAATCAACTGTAAACGCGTGTAATAGGAATGACTCAAAACTTGTCCACCCAGATATCTGGAAAATTCCACTACCCCAATGCTGACAAATAGAAGAGAACAAAGAAAAACATAAAACTCAAGTTTCGAAGTCGTGTGCTTACATTTGATATGATTATGAACAATAAATTTTGTTCGAAACGTCATCCTGTAAATAATGCTGTTTCACTATGTGATACATCTAATAAACAAACTAATATGGAGTTACCTGTGATCACCTATTTGATCATTGAACACTAATAATTAATTGGCCTGAGTTGTCTTCAAACAGTCTAATCAATTAGCAGTACAAATCTGGTGGCTTTACGCTCTACTTTTATAGCCTCCAATCAATGTGAGATGTCGTAGTTAGATTATTACAAAATATCACCGCGAAATACCCCATCTTCTTTTAATTTTAAAGCTTTATCATGAGTCTGTAAACGTTTTCATAATAAGCTTATGAATCCATTTTGATAACTTTAGAAAAATATGACGTGCTTGAGAAATATCAATGAACAGGGATACAGAGTTACTGTGAAGCTTCATTAGGAACGGAGTGATCTCATCAGCACATCGTCAAGTTAATTCTCGTGGTTTTGATAAACGTGATCAAGTGCAATAGTGTTTCACGGCCAGAGATACACTCAAGAAGCCTTCAGCTTAGGGTACGAATATCTCAGGGGATATCCCTTCTCTACAGATTTTAAGTACACCTTCCTGACTAGTACTTATAATCACGATGTCTAACTCCAACGCTTCTTGCTAATCTCTTCTAAACCGTCTACATATTTTCAAAGTGCTATACGACGATACGTCACTTGGCTTGATGAATCCATTTAGAAGTTGACTGCTACAGTACAGTTGCTTCTGAAAACTAGACAGACGGCAGTGGTTACATAATAATAATAATAATAATTTGCTTTATTCCAAAACGGTACTTGTGATACAGAATGGAATTCTCAGCATTTCACAACAATATTGCATCCAGTTAGTAGATTAACAGTAAATAAAATTCTACATAGATTAAGGGTAATCTCAGTTAGTTTTGACAACAACATATTAGCATGTCGGTAGCAAAGCCAAAATTGAACAGTGTTTGAAGGTGTTAGAAAAGTAGATACTAGCATATTTACTGGCGTAAGCGGTAACAAAAGGTCGAGATATACAGAGTGTGAAAGAGCGAAGAAGAATGTTTTAAATAGAGTTTGTAAGGAAGAGAAAAACAAAAAAATGATATGAGTTGGAAAGACGAGATCCAGTTGTTCTACTGACTATTTATTAACTTATAGGTATCACGCCTAATGCTTTCTTGATCACACAGAACACGAGCTAAGTAGGGTATGGTTGAGTTTTTGTACTTGCTAGTGCGAGCATATAGTTTTCTATATAGGCTTCTGGTCCAGCCTGATGAGATACAAGGGGAGAGTTGTGAATGAAGACGGTTGTGTGAGTTAGATAAAATGGATTTGGCCCATTTTTCACATGAGTCCAAGTGCCTGTCGTGTCGACCAGAATATTAACAAGCTGGTTCGATGGCACGTTGCTCACCCTACTGACAACCTTTAACATCCTACGTATAAGGTATAATCTTTCTTCGGTAGCCCTGAAAAAACTAAGTGGGAACAATGGAGAATAATAGGCAGGATGCAAGAGTTAACGAATCGTAGTAGTGACAGTTCGATAAAGCACTCTGAATAAATTTCACTTATACTGAAATATTTTCCGTTGTTATGTTCTGTGGTAAACGGCAGGATTTTTGTGTAAGTTCAAATTATTTCTCTAGTCAAACATTAATCATACTTCAGCATTTAGATTTGGATATTTGCTAATGATCATTATCACATGGTCGAGTAAAGGACCACAATAACTTTTTTCAACCCTTAACACTGAGTGTTAATAAATAGTAATGTGTTTTTGCATTTTGCGTGTAACTCAAACAATTGGTTTAATTAGTCAATAACAGTTCCCCTTCCCACCAGGAATTCTCAGAAGAAATCTTTACTGAGTAGCTTAGGCATAAAAACTACTGAGGGGGTTTTGATTAGGCTTTAAAAAATAACAAAATAACCTATATAAAGTTGTCCAAGATATCTAAAACAAAAGCTATGGGACATGTAATAATTCGAATAAACCTCCAAGAAAAAGGTCGTCAAACAATAACCAACCTCATTTGCTGCAATGACTCCGGTAGGATTTCCTTCAGTATCATACTTTCCCCAGTTTTGAGGCAGGAATTTTTCTTTCTCATCAACAACAGATGGATTCAAATAAGTTCTCAATATGGACGATGGTAATGCTTGTTTGAATGCATTGTTTGAAGTTTTAGATGTATTCAGAGTTGTAGGTATTAACATTGACGATGGTGTAGGTTCTGCTGAAACGGTTGGGTTTATTCCAGTATAATACATGGTTGATTGGGCTCCAACCATTTCAACTTGATTACTCTTCTCATAGATCGGTGGTATAGGTGGACACCAGATGCCATTTGTTCTAACCCTTTTCAGTGGCTTTTGCCAACTGTTGTCACGTTGGAATACAAGAAACAGAACCAGTAGAATAGTTACTGAAAAAGAGAGAATTAATTAACAGAAGATCCATCAATTCTAAGCGTATTATGCAGTGTCAAAAGTTTGAAATGTATTGATCTTAATAAATTAGTTTTTGTTTCTATCTGAACGTTAGGACCAACCACTCTTGAAAAAGATATGAATAGTAAGAATGCATCATTCATTGAATTTACAGCTTGTAGTCATGTTTTCCAACGAAAAATTATGCAAAATATAGAATGAAGCCTGAACAACAGATGGTATTACAGACACTTCACATGAGAAGTAAAGCAGAGATGCTTAGAAGAAAGGCCATCGGAAGTGAAGAGACAAAAGTCAGACACTCTTGTTGGACCAAGACTAACCGATTATCTTCAGTAGTCACGACGACATATTTTCCGTCTTGAGAAAGCTAATGTTTTGTCTAAAATTTCACCCAATAAGACGGAAATGAATGAAAAGTAATAAATTTCAGACCACAAAGTCCTAGTTGCGAACCCCGGTGGGTGCGCTCTGTGAAGAGTCCCAAACTAGGACGAAACAGCTGTCTAGTACTCCCAGGTTTTCCAATAGTTCTCTAACTGATGTCAGCTCATGATGAAACCCTCCTACCAATCAAATTTCATACTGTTTAAATCACTAACAAAAGTGATTCATACTACTTTGTATACAAAGACTAGTTTTATGTGTGAGGTGTCAACATTTCGTAGAATTTATAACCCTTTGCGTCATCACTTGTTCAGTGGCAACCAAAACATGACCAGCCAATATTCACACATCCAATGGCGATTATGCTTGAGTATCTCCTCAGAAAAACGTCGACAACTATTTCCCATCTGTAATCTGAATTTTCATCGAGATCACACACTTAAATTCGTTGGAGGCTTAGTCACAAAAGGCTTAAACCTGTTTTTTATGCCTTCAGAAATTATTTGTCACTCCTCTGAACCTGCCTTGGTATTCCAGTTTTAGAACCAAGGTTTAATATACTTAGTAGTATTTTCAGATATCCCTTTTTTTATATTTTTCTTACCCCATATTCTTACATCATCTCTCTACTTGTCACCTCTGATCTTGACTTGTCAACAATTTAACTTACACTGTAATCATTAATGCTCTTTCGCCATCTATATAAATGTGTTTGGCAAGCACGTGTGTGATCAGAATGTCCGAAGTGTGTTGCGCAAATACATAACACGTTTCAGGTAAATTACGCTTTATTATTTTATCAAAATGTCTGAAATATTGCGAATAATCTGACAAAATCAGGAGGGTTAACATCTAACTACTTAAGTGGCGAATAATAGTTTGGAAATAATGGATGATGAACAAATGTGCCCAAGAACACCTGCCAGCAAAGTTATCAAAAGGAAAATGCAGAAAGGTTGACAGCTCAACTTTTGGGTACTTTCTTACTTCTAGTCTTGCAGTATCAGCAGCGACTTCTTCCAGATATAAAACACGACTTAGGCATTCTAAAGGACTTCGTTCATCTCTTCTTCATGCAGCCGCATCATTTGCAATCCTTAAGGCGAAACCTGAACTATGTGTTAAGAAACGTTTTGTCCAGCCTCTCTTACTACTATGGTCTTACTGCTGTTTTCTATTTTTCGCTTTTGCTGAATATCCATTTTTATGAACTCTACGTACTACCTTTAATTACTTTGATGTTTCATAACCCGTCTTTACTTTTTTCTTCTCCTGCTTTCTATCAGTCATTTTAAATCTATTTTTCATTATATAACTAAGTAGTTGTTGACCCCCTTGATTACGTTAGCCTATTCTTAATTTCTCAAACATAGTTATTACTCACACACTTTGATTTCTTTCGTTGCTAACTGATAGTAACCTCTGTCCTCTGTTGTTGGTTGCCATAGTTTCTATAAACCCCTAAATAACTGGACAGATATGAACTAAAGTTACGAAAAGATATCTGTTTTCAGACTTATAGGCTCTTCGCTCGTTTGAAACTAAGGAGTGATTAGAAGGTGAATCGCGTGCATCTCCGGTCTCTCGTTTGGGACTTTACTACGGATTTGAGCTGAATTTCATCTGTCATTCGGTTAAAAAATGGAAATATTTCTACCGTCTTTCATTTAGCTAAATGAAAGGTGTTTTAATATACTATCAATGTAATTCGATTTGAATTGTACACGGAATCGCCGAAAATTTTTTTCATAAACATATGTCGATCCAAGAATTTCATGAACAAACTTAGGTTACTCACTGTAATTTAGTAGTATACTAATTTTTAACACAAATTATTTCTAGTCATTATACTTCTGCAATAGTGAACCAAATTCGTGTTAATGATTCTTGTAGGAAGGTAAGCGTCGGTGATTCAGCGATAGAATGCTCGCCAGGATTCAATTCCCGGTCACTGACGCACTCACAAACTCACTAGTAAGGCAGGTGAATGGGGAGTGTTTGACGTAAGGCCAACAAACCCATTCAGTAAAAATCAGACCACTGTTAAGGAAACTGCAAAGTTCTAGCCTTAAACTTCATGTCAACCCTCGGAATGTAAAGGAATAAAATTAAAAAAACAAACAAATGATGATAGGCACGATGAGCGTTATTCAGGTAGAATGACCGTAATTTTGGCAAATTCTATTAGCCCTGAACTTATAAATAAGATGAATTTCTTCCTTCAAAATTTTACACTTAAGAAAATTCGGTATCTCAGAATGGATTACACTCAAAAGTGCTAACATTCTATGTTCTTTCTACTTGAATGCTAACTGCTGGGAGGCCTGTGGAATTTTAATTGTAGTTAATCTTTTTTTCAGTGACATTTCGGATAATGATACACAGTTCTCTTTAGTTTGTTTAGATTATTCCTAATCAAAGCGTACTAGATGAATGAGTGTGAAGAACATTAAAGTCTTATATTTGAGTGTAGATTTATACAAAGCGCATAGATCAGACTGAAATATTTTCTAAGCAATGCAGGAAACGTCAATGTTATCATTTAGTTATTGTTCCCTTGGGTTCCGAGTGCGACATAGGGCTTCAAGAACACATTTACACTTTCTTCTATTTTCTGCTGTCCTCTTCAGTTGACTGGAGCAACGACTGCCCATAATCTCTTATCTCCTCCTCATTACACGATCTCCTGCGTGTAACACCCGCATCGACGACCGACTCGTCGCTTCCCGTTTGGACTCCACTCGAGCAATGGTCTACATTGCGCGCAATGTCATTCGATGGTCTCCTCAATATATACCCAATCCATCTCCATCTTCTCCTACCTATTGGTTGAACGATCGGTTTTTAATTAGTTTGTTTCCAGCCAGAGTTTCTTGTTGCTGATTCTTTTTGGTCGGCCATTTGATCTTCATTATGGAGCCAGCGAAGGTGGCAGCTGCTGACAAAAGTCTGCGACCTGTTGGAAATTCTTTTCCATGACACGCAGTGCAAGTTCCCGACCCATATACATGGACCAACTTGACATTGGTGTTGAAAATGCGAATCTTGTAGTTTACGTTGGCTGGGTGCAGTGCTAAAGATCTCCACGTTGATCTCACGTTGATGTATGAGTATCTCATCTTTTCGATTCTGACTTAGACATCTTCAGCCGTTCCGTCTGTGATTGAGACCGTGCTTCTTAGATAAGTGGAAGTAACCTCTGCTAAATCTTTCCCATTGATGGTGATTGGTGCTGGCTGTTGTTGTTGGTTAGGTGGTGGGTTATCTTCATATCCTCCATCTTCTCTATGTTCACTTAGAGTCCTGTCTTCACCGCTTCTTCAACCAGTTTGTTGGTTTTCGCTTGCAAGTCTTCGAGTTTATGTGACATTAGACATATATCATCTGCGGAATCCAGACCTTCTAAAGTCTTCTTATCGGTGGTCCAGCGTATTCCTGTCCCCTCACTCCCCACCCACAGTCTGATGCATAATCCAGTCCACCACAATTAAGAATATCATCAGTGACAATAGACGGGAAGCCTTGTCTTACTCTTATCTGGACTTCGGATGCCTCGGTGAGTAATCCTTTGTGGATCAACTGACACGTGTCATTTTCATCCACCCAAGTGTTCAATGAGATTGATAAAGATTTGGGAACTGCACGCCGTAGTGTTGAAGTAGTTTTCAAATTACTTCTCGGTTAACGCTGTCTGGTGAAAGCCTTTTCGAAGTTGATGAGGTTGAAGTACAGGTTTGACTGCCATTCTATGCTCTGTTCCATGATGATGACGATGCGTAAATTTGCAATTTGATTAGCACATGATTTACCTTTCCTGAATCCAGCTTGTTCTGGTGGGTGGGCAGAGTTTTTTATCCAGGGGATTCTTTATTCTCTCCAGGATGATGCGACTTAGTATTTTACTTGCCATGGACAAGAGCATTATTCCACGCCAATCAGTTCTTGTGAAGGCGTAAGTCGCCTTTCATTGATGTCATAAATAGCTTTTAATCAATAATTAACTGAATGGTTAAATTTTGTACAACTTGCTTGAACTGCACACTACTTCTTATTTCAAGGTAAATATAATTCGACAGATATATTATAAAGGGTCATTTTTAATGAATTTCAATGCACTCTAGTAGAATAAAATCAATAAATTGGTGGAGCTGATATAATAAACCACGATACACTACAGCAAGAATACCAACAGGTGAAAAGATGTCGAGGAAATAATAGCTGAACTGCAGTGGTTTATCATAATCATTATTAATATTCAGTTGAATTTTTAGAGCTATATTTTAAACTTCTTGTATACTACAAAAGTTTAATGATAGCCGTTCACATTATTTATTACCTCTGTGTAGCCATTTAAACATGTCCACACTCAAGATCGTTTGTTGAAAATATTTAGAATCTCACGCTGACCTACTTTGCTGGAACGAAATTTTCATGCTCCGTCAACATACCGATTCACAACACAGATGCTTCGACAATGCCTTAAGGTAAAGTAGGGATTTATTTGTTTAGTGGTAGCTAGTAATAGAATCGAGAACGCGCCTGCCATCCTATTTCAAACTCATCAGATAAGTTACAGCATTTCATCATG